TCGTCACCTTGACAACAGCGATCCATGTGAAAAAGTTGAGTCGTACGAAAATTGTTACACAAGTATGAGCTTGGCTTTTAAGAGACGTGGTCGCGATCTGAGTAGGTATCCAAGGTTCTTAAGTATTTAAATTATTTACGTTAGTTGTAAGGAATATCTTCATGTTAATTAATAAAATCAAAATTTATACAATATAATCCTCTACAATACATTAACTCATGGCGGGAAGTATGGCGATCATGGTTGGCATAAAATCGCCATCCAGGCTCACAAAGCATGTAATTTTCCACAAGTTATATCTCATACTTACTAGAGAAAGATGTAAATAAAGATCACAAAATCAGTTAAAAAAGACACATAAAGAAATCGGTAACTCAAAACATGCGTTTGTTCTTCAATAAAGAATTTCAATAGCCCATTTCTATCACTTAATGCACATAAGCAAGATTACGTTAAAGCCAATAAATTACAGTGCCATTGTACCAGAACCAACAAGAAAGATAATGACACTCACAATTTCTATAGAAACAGGGAAATACATATATAACTGTGACTTAGAATAAAGAAATAAAACTACCTCCACAACTATCTTCATCTATGCTAAGTCTGCATACGGTGATATAAATAATTCATTGGGTACGAAAAAGTCTTGGAACAATGCAACAAAGAACTAAAATTTCCATAGAAAGCGATACAATTTGCTTTCAATGTAAATTTACTAAGGAAAAAAACTGTTAAATATGAGAGGCAAACTCAGGGGAAAAGGGAAACAAAGATTGGGATTAACAAGTTGCAACTTTTAAAAAGATTCAATATACAAACGTGTTAAAGCACACATAAGCGAATGTACTTAAAAGAAAACGACATTTCTTAAGAAAAAATACAAAAAAAGATACTAATAAATCACTATTTAATCCTGAAACTAGATATTTTTGCAATCATTCATGGTATAATAAAATTTCTTTTGTTTCGTTCTTAAAAATAACAACGGTAAAAAACAAGTTTTTTAAACATGGATTTACTTTCAAACTTCACACTTGGCGTAAAAATGTTTTTTACACCTTCAAGTGCGAAAGGGAATGTTGAATCAAATTGAATTTATTCAATAATTAGTTTTAATAACTTAATTTTACGATGGGATATTTTAATTTGCTTGTTTCAATATTCAACTGTTTCACGTTATAAACAATTGGAATAATGAATAAAACTTAGTTATTAAAATAATTGATTTTAATCAATTTTCATTAAATAACAGCTACAAGGTCTGACGTTGCACGGGCTTTTTCGTGTGTATAACTTTTTGCTCATGAAAAAATCACCTCCCTGTCTTGGTGACAGCAGTTTCTGGTGTGTGTGTGTGATATCTATATTGTCTCAATAAAATTCCCTTTTTCAAAATTTCATCCACCTCTTGCTTCCTCTTAGCTTAGCCCGGCGTTGTACGGGCGTTTCCCGAGCGTATAACTTTATCCCTAAGCATATTTCCCCTTTCCCACCCAACGGCAACACTTCTGGGGAGCGGGTAGGTATATGCGCGATGTAAGGAATTTCCGTAACTGTGTCATTGAAATTGCCTTTTTCCCAAAGTTTCTTCTACTTTTTTTTTCTATATATATGTTTTACTTTTAATTGTCTTGTACCATCTAAATATATCCTTCCTTTGTATAACTGTGATTTTTATGTGTTATTAAATATATTAATTAATCCAAGGTTTTTTGTTGTAGTTGATTACTTTTGGTTTTAACCCCAAGTCGTCCGCATAGTTGCCAAAAATTATGCCAACGACGCTTAATTATAATTAAATTAGCGTTTTGTCACCCAAAACAATCCTGTCCAGAAAATTTCTGCTCAATTGAGCGCTTTAAAATGTAAGGAAAAGGCTTTTAAAAGTTTTTACTCATACATAGTTACAATGTAAGCAGAAGAAAACATAGTAACACTGAAGTGATTAAATTTTCTCATGCTTATAAAAATTTGAGAACATATCAGAACTTTCGAAAAGAGAAAAAACACACATTGTGGACTTCTTGAATAGTAGAATGTAATTAGACACAAACGAGGGGAAACTAAATCACAAGAGCCAAGTAAATTCCAAGAACAAAATTGGAAAATGGTACGGTGCTTTCTTAGTGATGAAATTAAACTTGATTTCAAAGGCAAAATGCGTGTAGGTTAATGCAAAAATACCCACAACGACAAGAAAAAAGCACTGTTCAGAAAATTATTTAAATTGTCAAAAATGTAATTTTTCTCAGATTAAATTCATGGATACTTACTTTTAATTCTCGTTCAGGTTACTTCTTTTTAAATATGCTACAATTTAATTTTCTTTCTTCATACACCGTGGACTGGATTACACAAGACAAACACCTGAAATTCAGAAACACATTTTAGAATTTTAAAAAGAATTTTTTTAAAAGAATAGGAGCGCTATAATGTTTTAATGGTTAAAATAACAGTTTAAGAACATAAAACAAATTAATTGTTATTAACTAGATAAAAATTACAGTCAAGAGACTAATAAAATTCAGAGTATAAGTAGTTTTAAACATTTAAAATGTTAATTACATTTAATAAATTGCCAGAAGTATTTTTATTTGTTCATTGGTTAACGATTATTTCCTTCCAACAGAAATACACTGTATACTTTAAAATTACCTTTTGTAAGTACTTTTTTTTTAACTTTTAAAACATGGACATAAATTATTTCGACAATAGAGAGAGGTTCTCTCTTTAGATCCTTAAAATATTTTATTACTACATTTCGATTCAATACAAAAAATGCAACAGAAATAGTAATCCCTGTTAATTTAATGTTATGCAATTTTGTCCTAGCTTTATTTTCTATATAAAATCGCAAATTTATTCAATTACACCCAAATTAGTAAAATGGCACACAAAAATCGTTAGCCAAAAAGAGAAAACAAGTATAACTAGATTATAATTAAATATTAAAAATCGTGCACACAATTATTTAAGGGGTGTTGGGAAAGCTAAAATCTTATTTTTTTGATAATTTGAGATTTTTACATTTTCAAATTGTATAGATTTTAACCTTTGTAAAAATATCTTACTTGAACCTCTAGTGTATTTAGAAGCCCTTAAAACGTATTTTTAAATAATCGTTGAATTTGGGCCACGCCCATTTTAATGGCGAAAATTGTAAACAAATTACTTTGTTTTTGCTTAATAGTGTAACGACTGATATGAACCAAAACATGTATCTTTTATTTTAAATTGAGCCTTTTATTTTTTTATTTCCCAGCCGATTAGAAGTCTCATCGTATACATTAAAATCAATTTATCTCAAAATGTAAATTTTAACGTGCGGTGTACCTTTTCTGAGAAAGTACTGCTCACAGGTATGTAAATTTTTTATGAATTATTTATAATGATGTCTAATATATACTAAAATGAGCTTTTTTTAAAACATTCAAAAATTTAATTTTTACAAATTTTTTAAGTAAAAAATGGGTCAAATTTCGCAATGTTTGATAAAATATTTCATAATTTATTAAAAAATTCAAAATTAGCTAAAAGCTCATTTTAGTATAATAAGAGAGATGTACTTTAATAGTATGAAAAATTTCAAGCATGTACATAAAACAAATTTTGAGAAAAGGCACATCGAAAACAGCCAATTTAACATTGTCAGTATAGAGAGAGAGACAGGTTTCCAACACCCCTTAAAGCATTTAAAATACATACCTTCAAAAAAATGCAAAATTTTATCATGAAAAACGGAATGACTACTGATAAATCATCTAGATTTTTGTATATATGTTTTGTATCTTTTTAAAAAAATGTAACACACAATTTACATATTTTTCAATTCCCACTATAAGTTCACTCTCACCTTACATACCGGGTATTTCTAAAAGAATATCGGAGTTTTAACACTTTAGTATTTATCACGTTTAAGTTACAAATATAATTCATACATTAATTGAAAGAGAAACTAAAACAGTTTTACCTACAAGTTTACAAATGTTCAATGTGAGCCACATTCGTCAAACGGCACAAATCGATAGGCGAGTTCATCCCAAAATTTTATCAATGTGTCTGAGGAAATTCTTACAACAACTGCTTCAATCCTGTGTCTTAAGTCTGGAAAGTCAACTGGTAGCGGAGGAACGTTCACACGATCCTTTATGAGCCCCCACAGGTAAGTCACAGGGCATCAGATCGGGTGAACGTGGAGGCCATGCGCTACAAGCTTTATCTGGAAGCTCTTTGTGACCAATCCATTGGTTGGGTACAGTCATATTTAATCAATCGCGTACTGAGAGATGCCAGTGAGGCGGTGCGCCATCTTGCTGCCAAATGAAATTTTGTTCACTTTCTTCCAATTGAGGAAATAGCCATAGTTGTAGAGCATCAAGATAGGCTGAGCCAGTTACAGCTGGTTACCAGTTACCGCCTTGGTCGCCCCGTACTTTTCCCTTTACAAAGACAGCCAATTGTTTCAAACTGATGATACCACCTAAGAATATTATTATCATTTGGAGGATGACAACCGAACTTAATACGGAATGCTCTCTGCACAGTAATAGCAGATTCTGTCTTTGAAAACTGGAGAACACAAAACGCTTTCAGTTTACTAGTCATCATTTTTCTACTAGCGCGTTGATCGGCGAGAAAGGAGAAAAAATTAGCATATGTTTCGCGCACACATGCCAAAAAACAGAACCGTTTCAGTTGCTCTTTCATTGGATGTATGAGTCATACTAATATGTTACATGTAATCAGTACTATAAAGCGTTAAAACTCCGATATTCTTTTAGAAATTCATATCCTGTACAGATTTTCAATCGTTAATAAAATACTTGTCATTCATCCACAAGTTTAAATACATTTTTTAAACTTGTAGTGGATGACACTTGATGTTCATACAGTTTTTTCAAATACTAAATCATTAATTAAATTTAAAAAATGAATATATAGTAACAAATAAAAATAATAGTCTAATTGCATATATATATAAAAGAAAATCGTTCTTTGTGTAGCGCAAACGATAGCGCGTTGGATTTCTAATCCAAAGGTCGTGGCCGCGGTAGCCTGGTTGTCAAGGAATCGGATCGTAGCAGACTTGTCACGAGTTCGAGCCTAGTACCACTAAAGACCCACCGTGTAGGGGAGCGATGCACGTTAAATCTATCGAGAGTTCAAACGTCCTCCCGTTGTTGTGGTGTGGTAGTTAGGAGAGGGGGTGCCTACTCAGCTGTCGTCATCGTTACTTGACCATGGTTCGAAATTACGAGGTCTGTAGCCAAAAGCCCTCGTGGAGCTGAACAGTGCGACGGCAATATTCACTCACTCACTAATCCAAAGGTCATGGGTTCGAATCTCACCTGGTATGGCCTAATTTCTGAGAATGTGATTTCTTTTTTCCTATACTATTTTACTAGAATAATTAAATTTAATTAATGAATAAAAAGTAACAAACAAAAAATAGTCCCCTATACAGAAAAAAAAATGGAAAATCGCAAGGAAAATCGCTTTCTATTTTGTCACTTAATATTATGATTCTGTCATATGCATATACATATTTATATTAATTGTAACTATTTAATAAAAAGTAACCAAAATAAAATGTTTCTTTTTTTTTTTTTTTTTTTTTACCTAAGTAGGAATTGACTAAGAAAATTTTTTATATTTTTTTTAATATAAAATCGCAAATTTATTCAATAACACCCGTTTAAAAACAATGACACACAAAGATAGTTAGCCAAAATGAGAAGACACACAACCAGTAAAACTAGATTATAATTAAATAAAACTAGATTCGAATTAAATATTAAATAGCATGCACACACAAATATTTAAAACCTTTAAAATATATACCTTCAAAAAATGCAAAATTTTATCACGAAAAACAGAATGACTACTGAGAAATCATCTATATTTTTGTATATATATATTGTATTTTTTTAAAAAATGTAACAATTTACATATTTTTATTTCACAGAAGCAATTTGGAACCGTAAATATACATAGATATTAAATGCCATTGAGGAATGCCGAAAAATAAGTAAGAGACAAAGAGTTAATACATACTGAAGAAAAGAGTGTTTGTCAATGTGCGATAAGGACAGTTTTCGCCATGTCGTGAACATAATTTTCTCCGATATCAACAATTAATTTGCAGCAGGAATATGAAATGCAATTTGATGATTCAGAAAAGGTCAAACAAACACAACTTGCGTAAGAAACTGAATGCCCGTAACTTAGCACCAATAACAGGAAACATATCTCACGAAGTTATACGTTGACAATTTGCGTGTTATTTCACTCCACTTCACTAGACCAGTTCTGGCTACTTAGAGCTTCTTATCGCAAACGAAATGAAATGAAATGCAATAAAGTATTCCGTTGTTTATATGAAATGATTAAGACGGCGTTGAAATTTCTTAGGGAAAAATGAATCAGAGAGCAAGTCAAAATAATCGAATTTCATGAATGAACAATACTGATTAATTTTTCAATGAAAAAAAAAATAAGATTTCCTGCAGGAGAGACGGAAGTATGCTTACGCTAATAGTTACTTCCGCAATTTGTTGAAAACGAATCAACGAAAAAGGTAATATCCTACGACGATAAGCAGCAATTTCTTAAAATATTATTACATTTTTCGTCGTTTTATGCTTTAATTGAAAAAAAATAGAAATAATTTGTCTTTGATTGGCGTTTTAAAATTTAGTTGACATTAACAGGCCGTTAAGGCATAATTTGATCACATTTCCCAAGATAGTCGAAATGTACCAAACCAGGGACGCCTTAAGGCATGAGCCGACTGGGCCCAAGCCCAGGGTCTCATAGGGACCTTGTCTTGTTCCCGACTCAGCCTTAAGATCATAATTCGAATAATTTCAAAGGTCAAATGTCATTTCCGATTGTATTCTCCGAAAAACTGGAAATTTCGGACGATATGTCAACCGGCTACATGTAATAACCGTCGTCTACATACAGGCCTAGGTATACCACCATACACCATCATTACTCATTCAGTCAAAAGACGGAAGTCGGTCGAACTGGTATGTTGGATTGTAAATCATGCACATTTGTGTTTTGGGATTATTGTTTGTACGAGTATTTGACAACGTATGCTACGTATTGTTTCTTTTTAAGGATCAAAGGTGGGGCCTACATTTGTGTGAGGGCTGAGGGCCTACTTTTGAATAGGGGCCCAGGGCCTCAAGAAGTCTTAAGACGTCCCTGTACCGAACACACTGCCTGATGATGTGAATTGTTTCTTTTTTTAATGTGTTGTGAAATGTACAAAAATATGAGCAACATGAGTAAAATTGTAGATCCCCTCCATTTGAGAAGTTGTTCGAGATCGCGAATATACCCCCCCTCTTCCCACTTCATATTTTTGCTTACATTTGTTAACATTTAATGACATCCTCCCCAGCCAGCAACGTACACAAGGAGGGGTTGGGGTTCAACTCCCCCATGGACAAACAGACTTTTAATTTTTACCATACAGGTTACTTATTCCTCAGCAGTTCCATCTCGTGTTTTTCAAACTTTCAACCCCCCATTATAGAGGTCTGTGTAGGCCATACTGACTCAGCAATATATATAACATACATTCTTTTCCACTGTCCTTAGTGAAAATATTTTCGAAATTTTCCGCAAAAAGTTTCGAAGTAATAACCATCTTTAATTTCGATTGAAAGCCCTTCCCAAATTTAAGAATTTTTCGCAGTGAAATATACACTCAAGAGCCAAAACATTATGACCACCCCTACATTTTGCAATGAACTCGCCTGGATGATGTGGAAGGCACGTGATCAGGTGGAAGTAGTATTTAACTGCTGCTGGAGAGTCTGAAGAATCATTGATGATCTGCCAGCAACCAACAACTATAATATGCAAAACTTAATTCCATACATTCCTAATGATAATTCTAAAAGACCAAGAAGAATACTTCTTGATTCGTATCACTATTTTGTCACTATTTTTCTCTTACATTCCGCCCTGGACTTGCGCCTCCCCATTTCTTAAACCCCAGTCCCCAGGGCAGCCAATTGGAGTCACTGTTCACTATACCCAGCAACCAATCAGAGAGCAGTCACTAAGCTCTCAGCCAAGTCAAAAACTTTTCCAAACTCACCATCCAGACGAAGCACCGAAGCCACGCCTCCCGGATCCCATCGATCATCCAATCGCCGTCATGCCACCTAGCAGAATGTAAAACCCCACTCTCGCCATGCCCCTCATCGAAAACTTGTCCAGATATGGGATTGAGGGACTCCAGAAGTTTTCAACGCCTGAAGAATCATTCTTTCTCCCGGATTCCATCGTTCAAACAATCGCCATCATGCCACTCAGCACAATGGAAAACACCACTTTTGTCATGCCCAGCATCATAGACTCTCACGATATGGGATTGAGGACTGTTTTACAGTCCGGATGCCCAAAGGAAAACGCCTATTCAACGCCTGAAGAATCATTCTTTCATTTATTTCTGTGTGTGATTGGAAAGGCTGCGAATCTAAGCGACTTTGATAGAGGGCAGATTGTAATGGCTCGAAGGCTAGGAACAAATATTTCCGAAATTGCACGACTCGTGGGTTGTTCGCGATCTACAGTTTTTAGTACTTATGCAAAATGGATGAATAACGGTGAAACCAGCAGTAGATGACATGGTGTTGGACGTCTACATGCTATCAAAGAAAAAGGTCATCGGAGACTGTCTCGCATGGTGAAGCAAAACCGGAGCCAGACAGTGTGGCTCATTTGACAGTTCAATACAATGCAGGACCAAGTAGAATAGTATTGGAGCACACTGTTCAGCAGACACTGTAGGATATGGGGCTACGCAGCGAACGTCCCATTCGTGTGCCTTTGCTGACCAAGCGACATCGCCAACTGCGCCTGCATTGGGCCCGGGAACATCGTGACTGGTCCATGGATCAGTGGGAGAGAGTTGCCTGGTCAGATGAATTACGGTTTTTCATTCATCTCGCTGATGGTCATATCAGGATACGCCGTCTTCCAGGCGAACAGTTGCTCCCTCAATGTACAGTAGGTCATACACAGGCCGGTGGTGGCAATATGATGCTTTGGGGGACGTTCTCTTGGGCGTTTCTGGGACCCGTGGTTGTGGTAGAGCAGACCATGAATGCTACAGGGTATCTGAACATCATTGTGGACCAGTTGCACCCTTACATGGCCTCTGTTTCTCCAGCTGGAAATGGAATGTTCCAACAGGACAACGCCCCATGTCACAAGGCTGAAATTGTGTTGGAGTGGTTCCAGGAACATGATGCTGAATTCCAGTTAATGTTCTGGCCGCCTAACTCACCGGATCTTAATCAGATAGAACACATTTGGGAAGTCATCGGACAGCAGCTCAGAGTTCAAAGACCACCAATTCACAATATCTCGGATTTGAGTGACCGTTGCTTAAACATCTGGTACAATCTGTCTCCGGCCATCTACCAAGGACTTGTGGCATCCATGCCAAAGCGGGTTGAAGCTGTGTTGCGCGCCAAAGGTGGGCCAACTCGTTATTGACAGGTGGTCATAATGTTTTGGCTCTTGAGTGTATGTTCGTTATCTTTCGGTAATGCTTTAGTTAAGTAGCACTAGGACCGCACAAAGAACAAGGATTCGAACCGGAACTGAACCGAAAACCGGAACTGAACTGAAAACCGGAAAAAACCGTTATTTTGGTCGGAACGAAAAACGGAACTGAACCAAAAAAATATCGGTCTATTTCGGTTCGATATATCTTTAGTCATTTTGTTACTGTAAGCAACTTATCAATACTTCCTAATTTAATGTCAACCATATAATTATCATCATTACTTATACATTTCTTCTCGATTTCCTGTATTGATGCTCACTAGTACTTGTAGAAGGCAGATTTAATTCAGTTCAATGAACTAGATGATTTTTTCAGTAAAATATCAGTCTGAGTTATATTTTTTGCATCTCGGCATGCGATCATCCAAGGATATTTGCCTAGACTGTTCAGATAGACAAACCATATATTTATACCTAATATCTCAAGCGATTTATCGAAAACGTCCCTGCGAGCAACTCGCGATCGACGAGTTGGCTATCCTCAGTGGCGTAACGGAGAATATTAAGCCCCCGCAAAGCCAGGTTTTAGGCCCCAAACACGTACTTGGAGTCAGTCAGGCTTTGGGGCTCCTAGAATTCCTGCCCCTCCCAAACCGCGGGGGTGTACGTTACGCCACTGGCGATCGTCGCTATAAGACATGTTCCTTTTCTCTAAAATATGTGAAGAAGAAACTCAATCGCCTCTAATGAACTTGTATTTTTGACCAATACTGATATTTAATATGAAACATATTAATCAATGCCATCACTCATAACATTACA